TTTAATTTTAAGAAAAACTTCAATGTTTAATGAATGACGCACTCGTTCACTTCCGAAAGCGGGTAAAAATGCCGAATTTTTCCACTTCGATGCAAAATGCATCGGCCGGGCCTTTCATTATTTACGAAAAGCAAACAGTCTCGCTAATCAACAAAAAAGGCGGGGCTTATTCCGATTACGGAGATGCGTTAATGCAACTAAAGGACGTAGCGCAGTGCGCTAAACGGCGTGCTATTTTTGTTTTTGTGCCAAACTCTATCGTAGGAAACCGTTCTAGCTTAGCAGAATGCCCTAGTTCTTGAGATCGGCGATTCCGTACCTCAATGGGTCCCCACCTTTGAAATTATAACGGAGAGGTGCCACCACTGACCCTTCCCCATCCTTTGAGGAACACGGCACAATATTCATTCACAGTGTATGTGAAATAATCGACATCTACCTGTACGTATATCGATATCGGTTAACTGACAACTACACGTATTCTATTGCGGCGGTGAATGTATTTGTTATTTCCGATTAGTACGTAAGTGGTGTGTGTCGATGTAAACTCTCACTACCTGCAGCTGGCAGCAGCACGTCCCATGTTAATGTATCGGGGTGTGAAGGAATTCTAACGAAATCAAACGGTAATCACAAGAGGGCATCGAATATGAATTCGAAATAAGAGCGCACTGCAAACTAGAGGAAGGAGTGTTTGAATGTCTGCATGCGCATCGCCGCAGTAACTATATCGTACAGTAGAAGAAACAGTAACAAGTGAAGTTTGTGTCAATATAATATCACGCTGTTTTAATATCGGTAATATCGACACCATTTTTACGCATCACAACGAACAACAACAACAATAGTTATTATTAGTAAATATATATGTAAATAATAAATATTAATAATCTCACAACAAACACAAACAAGTGACGTAACAGTGCAATTTAAATGAATCCACGATGGTCAGTGATGCAGCGTCTTCAGCGCCACCTGCCGACGTCTGCTCTTTAAGGGCAGTCGAGTACAGTGTTGGTGAGGTCGCTCAGTGAAGTGCCAATCCTGTTTTGTGGAGCGCTGCACGTTCCGCTGGTGGAGAATGGATGGGCTAGCAGATAGTTGATGTTGCAGACACAGTTGATCGGGTTACCTGTGCAGAGAGAAACAGCAATAAAAACAGAGAAAAAAAGAGAGAAGAGAAGGGAGGGGTCGGGAGAGGTGAGAATAGGATGCTACAGAACCAAAGCTTCAGCGAGAATATCATTACGAAGTATTGTGAGCGTGATCACCTACCCGTGATATCTAGATGTATGTGACCGTGGTGGTGGCCATGGTGATGAAGCACGTGCTCATCAAACGCCTCTTCAGTGAGGGTGTTGAGATGGTTGTCAGACAGGTTGAGTTCCTATAGCAAAGTAAAAATGAACGGGTTAGATCACTTGCTGCAAGGAAGGAGGGTGCTTGGTTAAATTACTGCATTATACTTCCTATTTTGCTATTCCGTTCGATGTGAACAAATATTAATCTTACTTTTTATGTAAAAAAATTGCAACAAAAAATCGTGACGTCAATCCATCCATCCACCCTCATCACTAATTCTCCAACTCACCTCGATCTCTCTCAGCCCTCTGAAAGCGTCTTCTCCAATCCAGTAGATCTGCTGGCCGGGCAAATCCACCCTCAGGATGCCCTCGGTATCATCAAAGGCGCCTGGTCCCACCCAAGCAATCTGGCTGCCACTGAAGTCTAGGTGTTCAACGTTGTGAAGTCCAGCGAACACGCCCGGTTGCAGTGACACAAGCCTGTTGCCGGCAAGTTTCAAGATCTCCAGATGCCAGGCGTCTCTGAAGGTTCCCGGATGTAGGTAGTCGATACCGGCAGAGGTCAGGTCGAGAGCCTATCACAGGGAGCAGACGCAGTAAGCGTGTTAGAGATGATACTAGGTGCACGTAGCTTTGAAAATCAATGCCAAGTAACAAGCCTACATTTGCTGACGCAATTCATTTTTGCATGATTTTGTTTGCGCGATATTTCGTGGGAAGGCACCTTTAACATGGAGGAGGGTACTGCTGTACTTACATGCAGTTCAGGCATGCCAGTGAACGCCCACTCGTTGATGTACTTCAGGTTGTTCTCAGCAAGGATGAGGTGCAGGAGGTGACCGTGCGCCGCGAAGGCTCCCTGAAGTAGCATAGTGATCGCGTTGCCGGCTAGGTTCAATGTCACTGCAAGAACGCACACGGATGAACAGCTAGGACCTCCAATTACGCTTTCATACAAAATCCAATTATGCCTTGGAAAATACATCCACGATTCGAGAGTTTTGATGAGCTAGAGAACACTCAGATTAGGCGTGAAAATGAACATTATTGTAAACTTTACATCAGAATAACTGCCACGTTGCTTCAAAGAACGACACTAGAAAGTATGTAGCAAGGAATACAAGCAGCAAGCTGAAGGTTAAGGCTTACCGACGCTGTCTTGGATGGAAGGGAAGATGACTGCTGGCACGGCAGTCAGCTTCATATAGCAAAGCAGGAGTTCGTCCAAGTCATCAATGTCAGCGAAAGAGGCAGGGTGCAGCACTGGCGCCACCCCGTGGTGATGACTTGTATCAATCATCAACGAACCGTGATCAAAGTGCAGGCCGCGAAAGACGTTCTCGGGCACCTCCTCCATGTCATCGAACCCATGCAGAACGATGCTAGCGTAGGTGACGTCACGGGGCAACGCCTCCATGACGCTGAACGCTTCGCTGCTGGACATATCGTGACCATCGCAGACATAAAAGTGCTATTCTAACAACGTATCATTTTACTGCACTGACGGTGAGGAGCTTGCAAGCTCATGTTGACATATGTACCGTCTTTAAATTAATAAGTAAAATAAATACGACAAGAAAACTATCGAAGCCAACAAAGCTTACCGATTTGGTCGATGATGGTGAACCCGATGCTCATTGGTAAAGCAGTCAGCTTCAAGTAGGAAAGCGTGAGTTCTTCCAGATGATACATCTCTTCAAAGGAGTGTTCATGCAGCACTGGCGCCACCCCGTGGTGGTGACTGTCATCAATCTTTAGCGAGCCGTGTTCAAAGTGCAGGCCGTTAAAGACGTGCTCGGGCACCTCCTCCATGTCATAGAACCCATGCAGCTCGATGTGAGAATATGTAATGCCACGAGGCAACGCCGCCATGACGCTGAACGCTTCGCTGCTGGACATATCGTGACCATCGCAGACGATGTTAGGGTAGCCGTTGTAAGGGCTGGTGCATGTACACTCTCTCAGCACGTGCATCGACGGACACGGAGGGTCGGGATGTGGGTGAGCGTGAGTGACGGTGATGACCACGGCCGCCACGAGAAGGATGACCAGCTTGCACATGATTGCTGTAGTAACTCTTTGTATCTGTAACTACACAGAGAAACGGAACGAAGCTATACACAGAGCCAGCCCAAATTCATAAGCGCCAGGCCTAACGTTATGATCTGGTTTTATTTTGGTTTGGTTTGAATTAAACCTTCTAAGAACGTTAGCCACAAACGTTGTGTCAACCACCATTTAACGTTTTGTTATGGTTGCGAAATAGTCTACTACAAACGTTAGCTATAAACGTTGCACTAACCATCAATTAACGTTTTTATATAGTTGCCAAATGGTTAGAAACAAACGTTAGCTGCACACCTATTACTAACCAGTACTGAACGTTTATCTAGGGTTCAGAGGGGGTAAAAATAAACGTTATTTATAAACTTAGTCGTAACTATGAACAAACGTTAGCCATGCACATTGAACTAACCGTTATTTAACGTATTTATATGGTTAGAAACAAACGTTAGCTGCACACCTATTACAAACCAGTACTGAACGTTTATCTAGGGTGCCTACACTAATCATAATTTAACGTTTTTATATGGTTAGAAGCAAACGTTTGCTGCACATATATATATATGCACCTATTAGAAACCATTACTGAAAGTTTAGGTACTGTTTGGAGGTTGTAAAAATAAACGTTGTGCCAAGGTAAAGGAGGAGGAGGGGGAGGATGAGTAGTGAGAGATATGGGGAAGGTCGAAAAGGGGAATCTGGAGCAGGAGGGGGAAGTGGAGAAGGTGGGTGGATGGGATGATAGAGGCGGTAAAAGAAATAGGTGGGGGTAATTAATTAATTAGCTAGCCTACACTAGAGATGTCTTCAGTTCAGATGCCAAATATTGGAAGCAAAAGGTTATACACCATAGACTAATATATCTGTTTTTACACGCGTATCTAACAGCCGAGTCGGTTTATAGTTCGTGTTAGGGTTAGGGTTGGGGTTTGGGTTAGGGTTACTGTTTGTACTTGTGTGTGTGGGACTGTCGTACCCGTAGCCTCGAGACATTAAGATACGGCAGCAGCGCATGCGTAGTGTGTCTGCCGTACCCGTAGTCTCGCGACAATAAGGCTACCGTACCCGTAGCCTCTGCGTAACAGTTTTTAACTCCGTTTTTTTAACGTTATCAGAACCACGCACAAGAACGTTATTTTCAAGTTTTTAGTACGTTAGGAAAACGTCTTTTTAACATTATAAAANATTTTTATATGAGGTATGTTTAGGGTTAGGGTTAGGGTTAGGGTTAGGGGTAGGGCCTAAGCAACTTGCCTCTCACTTGCGATTTCTCTATTCACCGTGTTCGAGTGCTTCTCCGCCGAAGCAACAGCTGATTTGTTACAAACTCCTGCTCTACTAACAATAACAACAATAATAACAATAATAATTATGCACATACGCTTTGCTATGCTATCTTTATACTGCGTTACCAGGTTACCCATGCAAAGCAGAATTCTGTGCAACGTGTCCGTGTTACGTGCCCACGTTATGTATACATGTGAGTTGCTTAATAGCGTGTCCGTGTTACGTGCCCACGTTATGTATACATGTGAGTTGCTTAATAGCGTGTCCGTGTTACGTGTCCACGTTATGTATACATGTGAGCTGCTTAATAGCGTGTTCAAGTTACGTGTACACGTTATGTGAGCATACATTACATTTCACTGTAACATACCCATGCAATCGGTTCGCGTTATATTTTCAGATAGCATTGCCATGGTGTAACGTTTGTACGTTAGCGGAGAATTAAGGCTAGCCGTCAGTCGCAGGCAAAGCTAGTCTTAGTAAATCATTTATGTTTTCATCTTTATCACACGAACTAATAAAAACAGGTAAAAGTCGTAAATTTTCTTTGCATAACTAGCTCGCTCACACGTTTAGAGATTCCTTCTTACTAATTACATAAACTCTACGCGCCGCACTGTTACACATACACAGTACGCGCACACACAGTACGCGCGCACACGATACGCGCCAACCGTAAATAATTAATGTTTGAGCGGTCTGTTTACCGTGGGTAGCAGATAGCTACTAGTGTTTTGCGGAGCACAGCTACATGTAAAATAAAAAATTTAATGGAAAGAGAACAAATATAATACTAGAGCACTCGGAGAGCACAGACCTCGCCAAGGGTAGCTGCAATTCTCTCAATGTATAATTTTTTTATTTAATTTAATTAATAAAAATTAATTAACTTAATTTTTTTAAAAATTTTCATAAAAAATTTAATTAATTAAATAATTAATTGATCCAGGATTGTTGCGATGCGTGCAGGTGGTGGGTAGGACTGTGCGTTGCCCTTAGCCTGTGGTTGCGTGTTTGTTAAGTCTACAGCCAGCGCACTAGCGGGTGGAATGGTGAACTGAAACGTGATGTGCCACAACACCACCAAAAGCCACGAAACACAAAACCAAATCACTCATCAAGACACGCCGTGTGCTTTTTGTCTTGTTCATTATAATCATAAACTCGCCAAGGCCCCCTCGATAACCTCCGCGGAACCGAGGGGGGGTGATAATGCGCTGTAGACCTTGTGTCGAGTAATATCGGCTGTCTCATCTAGTTTTTCGAATTGGCAGATCGCCACCACTTTTAATAAATTTCTGCCGAAATAACGCGATTTCGGTTTAGCCACTCGTTATAAAGCTAATACTAACAAATTTGTTACACGTACTCTATTTATTCGGTTTGCTTATTTTCAATCAAAGATATAGATAAATGTTTTCGCTTGTCTAAAAGTTATGTGGAACTAATCCACCCCCATACAATCGACCCTTAGCAGGCAGTATTCTTTACATCTGTTAAGGCTGCTTCGCTATACCAGCCACCATCTCTTGCATCCGAGAATCCCTCGACCCGTCCAATATCAACTACAATGATTACGTTTTATTATATAGTGATACCGCCTAGTAGTGATACTATGATTATGACATCTCT